CAATCACCCCCGATTATACAGGGTTCTTGGCTGAGAAGCAATTCATCAAGGATATTATCCGTCAATTGATTGTCTGGAGGGTTATATATTGCACAAAAGTTAATTTTTCCAAGCCTGGGAAGCTTTACTTGAACCTTCACCATTTCAAACGCCTTAGAGTTGTCTGTTTTAATCAAACACGGCCTCATACGACCTTTTCACGTAAATGATAACACGCCAACCGCACCCCGGTGGCGCCATCTATCGCATCTAAAGGACATAAAGTTTGCCATGTACGAAGATTTTTACTTCTGAATAGCATGAGGTTTCCGTGATTAAACATATATCTAATCCACATCCTCTCTTCTGACAAAGTCCTGGAATTCATGAAGTTTCGTAGTTAATTTTGTGCATTCCACAGCATGATTTTGACCGGTGTATACGAGTTGCGAGAAAAAATTATTTCATTTTGGCTGGATTGGGGCCTGACTACATTTTCAACCAATTTAGTTTGGTTGTAAGTCCTTAAGCATATTTAGAGCAGCGGTGAGCTTAGCAATCATTTTCTTTGCTTCTGTGAGTTTTTGATTAAGTTCCGAAATTTCCGCGGAATTTCTGGAACTTTGCATCTGGAGCTGTTAGTTATAACCCGCTCTGAGAAAAGTCTGTTATTTTGCGGCTTAGATTTAGGAAAGGCACTGCAAGCTCTATAGCTTGCGACGTGATCTAGTCCACAATTTGCGCAAGTGGGGGATGCGTCTCTGGGTTTTGTGCATTCCCTGGATTCATGGTCGGCACCGCATTTCACACAGCGAGGCGGGAGTTTGCATGTACTTTGTGCATGATAAAAACCCTGGCAGCGATAGCACTGCGTAGGGCCTCTTCTTCCTTTGTATGTCTCAACACTCACTCTGAGACGCATTAAATATTCAAGCTGATGAATTGTCCTGCTTTTGTCGTTACGAGGGAGAAAGACCAAGTACAAGGGCATTTTAACTATGTCTGGGCCTCTGCGTCGTGTGAGTTGTATCACGTTTCAACTTGATATCCAAGTTCAGTAAAGAGCTTCTCCTACGTCAACCGGCGGAGTGTAGGAAGGTATTGCTTCTTACTACCACTTTAATCTTTTTCTCGTCTGGTAAGACATGCGTGTAGTATTTTATTCCTTTCCTGTTGAAGAGAGCAGTAATTTGTCTGTGGGAATCAGTCGTGGAGACTTTTATGTCAAACTGATAATCCCCCTTCATGCTTGCATTATAATCCTGGCATTTATGGTCGTCTAACAGCTTAATTAGCTGCTTCCATGTGATATCAGCATCTTTCACCGTAATCGGCGGGATTTTAGCTTTACGTTGCGGATATTGGAATCCATCTGTAACATCATCCTGTGAAGCTTCTGTATTGGTCGGTTGAACGGTGACTTCGCTGGGGCTCTCCTGATTGGCCGGCGCGGTCGTGGCGTTCTCCGTCGTGACGGGCTTGGGAGCAGGAATGCTTTCCTGTAAATTACACTTGGCTTGAGCTCCAAATGAAATTACCTCTTTAGCCAATTCCGAAAGTTTATGCTTGATTTGTTTTTTCTTTTTTTTTTTCCTTCTGCTTTTTATTAGGTTGAGGAATCACTGAAGATGATTCAGCTTCCGGTTCGTGATTATCGTCGCTTTCGTCGTGGAGGACAGAATATATGTTGTTCTGAAATTCGGCTTTAGGTAATTTAGGTTCCGTATCGCCGGTGATGGGGCTGCACGGCCTTTTATTTCTGACTTGTTGAAACTCCATATCTTCCGGTCCTTGTTCCTCTGAATGCGGCTTCGGGATATCCTGAAAATTCAAGCCTGGACACAGGGGTTGAAAGTCAGTCCCGTCATCCATCAGAAAGAACATAATCGTGGTCAGGAAACTTTATCGTAAGCGCTTCATCAGGGTTTAGGGTAGAAGTTTTCTTGAGTTCTTCCGAGCCTGGCGAATTCTTTTTAAACATTTGCAGCAGAAAAGCCATCTTGGTTCACACTTGTAAATTATCGATCGAAGTCGCGAAAAATAAAATTAAATCAGTACAAATGCACTAAGGCCGTTTTACAACACGGTCGGTCACTGAAGACCTATGTGAAAACCTTCTATGTGCTAACACTAGTACTGAACAGAAATGCAATCAGAACGTAGCACAGAGCGAGGGAAACTACGCACCTTCACGCTCTGAGTCTCAGGTCCGAATGACTGAGTGTCTCTTCGGTCTAACAGATAGAAATGAGAAAAGCTTCGTATGAGAGCCTGCTTTTATGGATCGATAAAGCATTGGCAAGCACTCCGAGCTAATAAGATTGTGTTAGCTTTCATTCAATCGGAAATCATCGAAAAAGAAAAGGAAAGTGAAGATAGTGACGTTGAAAGAAGTGGATTTAGAACAGAATGATGAAATTGACCTAAAATCAGAATTAAATAAATTGGTTAAATTTATTTAATTCTGACATCGGTGAGTCGAATTTTGAAGGTTTCGTATAAATAAATGTAGTTTAGTTTAATTTAAAAATTCTGTTTATTTAATTTATGTATTTTTTTCATAATATGGTAATTTATGGTGATAAATGATAAATGAAGTTTACCGAACCTGTAAAAATATCTATTAGAAATTATCAGAGTTCGTTTTCGGCAAGTTCAAGGTAAGATGTTTCTTCCTTATTTATTTATATATTACTGATTATATTTATGTCGTAAATGTTATAAAATGTTATCGATGATGATTACATCAATATGAGAGGGAATTATTGAGTAAATGAATATCAAGGGCCATGTTTCGGAATGCTTTACTGCGGCGTATACGGCGGTGCGGCTTATCCAATGAACTTTCATTTTTTTTAGTCAATTATCATGCGTGTGGCGTAGGTGCCAGTACGGCTTACCCACCCAAAATTACGGTAACCTAAAATGAAATTAATATATATATATTTGTTGATGATCATCTAGCAGTGGTGAAAGGGGTGCATGGGGGGAAAAGTTGAGTTCCACTGATTTTTTGGCTTCCTAATATTCTCCCCCCCCCAAAAAAAAAGTCTTTTAACAACACTACAAATAATGATAACACTAAAAAATATTTTCAAAGTTTTTTTTTTTGAGGGGGGCTAATGTGTATTAAACCATGCAGATCTAAACAAAATGAAGTAACATATAAATATTTATTTATAGTCATAAAAGTATAAAGTTTTTTATATAAAAAATATTATATACAGAATCTTATTTCACTCAAAAATATATGTACAATTGTATAAAAATAATATATCTCATTATAATATACAAATAATGTATCTGTTTATACTTTACATCTGGAATTAATTTTCACTAGAAGGAAATATTATTGTTCATTCTATTGAAAGGTATTTCCTTGTAGGCAAAGCTCATAACTAATCCATATACTTAGTGTTCTGCATTTGATCTAATTATTGTTCTTTACAGGTAACCCATCTTGCTTGCTATTTTTAGTCTAAAGGGGCAGTTTGCCCAGAGGGACTATTAATTTCGTTTTGGCATTTTGCGTTGAAATGTCGGTTCACTTTTCAAAATCGTTGCCACCAAATATTAGAGCACTGCATTATGTTTAAAGAAAGTAATTAATGAAAAATCTGCATAAATGTATGCATGTTACTCACACAGAGCCATCAAATTTTGAATAATTGAAGTTTCCACCCAAATATGGTCATCTGGAAGCCTGAATTTCAAATTTGTTTTATTACCTATTTCATATTTTGTAAAGCATTTATGAGTTTTGTGCGAAGAACATGATATTTAATAAATAAAGTAACACACAAAACCTTAAAAAAACGCCCCTTTGGGTGTAATGTAAAATCTGAAAGCTTTCAGATTTCTTTCTTTCTTTTTTAATTCTTTTTTATTTTTATTTTTTTAATGTTTATTTTCAAGCAAAATGTGCATGCTAAGTCTGCTAGATGCTAAAAAAGTAAAAACTATATATCTGTAAATATCTATTTTTTTTATTGCAGCATTCTCCAATATAAGGTAGGAAACTTTATGAAAGTAGTTTCAGTATTAGAGACAGAACAGTTCTCTAAAAATGAAATCTGACTTTTTATTTTGTTTTCGTAGAGTGAAAACTCCAGTTAGTAAAAGTATTGATTAGCTCTTTTATGTTAAAATGTTCCATTACTGGCGAAATTTGCAGATATTTAAAGAACATTGTAACTTAAACCATATCACTATGTCTGTAATTAAAAATTACATTCAAGTAAATTTTTAAACTAAAAAATGCTGATTTTAACAATTTCCAACTGATGTGCTGTGTATGAATTGTTTTTAATTTGAATGTGCATTTTAAAAATTTATTTCTCCTTTCTATATATTTACATAAATCAATAGTTTGTAGAATAAAAACACTGACATCCAAACACAGAAAAGAACTTGTTCATCTTGAAGAAGATTTACATGTCAGTTTGTCTACCACATATAAAGTTGCCAAATGTACTAATTAAATCAATAGAGTTCTGAATTTAAATGTTTTCCTCTAATTTCAAATATGTACTGAATTTTAAAATTGTATTTATTTAAAATAATCATGACAATGCGCCTTCCTGCAGGGAATATGTAATCTTTCTGGAATCTTCAGGCGATATTTTCTGCCATTGTTTTATAAATGTATATAAAATGTTTCCTCAGATTATGAAGAATTGTAGAATAAAGACTTACAATTAAACTAAAGATGACTTTAAATGGCAGTTTCCTCAAAACTATGTTTCTGGAACAGCTCACCATTTTTTTTAATTTTATTTCACCATATTTGATAAGGATTTGTTTAAAAGATTCTTGTTATGAAGCTAGCAATAATCTTCTGGATTATGAAGTTATTTGTACTTTCACTTGGGAACTTTGCTAGTCTTGTTATTAAGCCATCCATACGACCTCAAATTAGATGACTATTAAAATTTCGTACTTAAATTAATAGGCATACCATATAAGTATGTATTTAATATTGCAGTTACTAATGTTATATACCTTTATAAATATTACATAAATTTTTCAATTGCTAAATATTTTATTGGAACATAGGTTCCCCCTTAGTTATCCAGATAGAAAGAGTTTAATTATCTAGGTTTCAATATTTAAGGATACACAGCTTGTAGTAATGTTTCTTGAATACCTGATGTAGAAAGAGTTTGCTTCTCAAAACTAAATTCTATTAGCTTAAAAAATGGTTTTTGTTTTCTAAAATGCATTTATATATATGTATATATTGTATGAAAGAAAAGTTTTCTTTCCTGCAAAATATGTCATCCAACTGCATCTAGAGTTAGAGGATCAGGTAAAACATGCAAATGAACAGATGGCAGCCACGAAGATCTGTCAGGATAGCGAGGTTCATATTGGGAATAATGCAGTTCAATTTCTTCATCATGGTCTTCATCATCACTTTGAATTATATTTTCATTGTTTACATCTGTACTTCTCTGTGGATGGTTGAAAATAATTCTTCCTTCATTTATGAGCAGCTCTGCCGCTTCTTCTGGCTCAAAGACAAGTGGTAAGTCACTGTCAGACATACGACTGTGGCACATTTGGTTGAAAGCTTCAGACTGCTCTTTTGTGAAGTAATTCTTCCAGTCGCCAATTATACCTGCACCCAAAAAGCATTTTTCTATTTTAGGAAACAAATAACAATGATTTTAAATTAAAATACAGTTCGAATATGCTGATTTAATAAATCGTGGGTAACCACCAATAAAATTCCTCAAATCGAGATTATTCTACTTAGAAAACATTAAAAATAAACTTAATGAGTATGCAATGAAATACTAATTTCAAATATGTACATATTCAAATATGTACATAATTTCAAATATGTACAAATACTAACATACTGTAATTGCTTCGGATGAAATTCTCAATATACGCTTACAGTATATTTGATTTATATACTATGTTATAAATCAAATATAACCGTCCATATTTTTATCAACAATTTAACGTTAGAAACATTCTTTAACGGAATCCTTTAAAAGTTTTGAGTCGTGGCATTAATTACAGTGTTTCATAAAAAATGAATAACTCTTCTACATTTATTTCCTTTTGAATTGGCTTACTTTCTTTTCCAGGAAAAATTCTTAAAAAAAAATGGAAAAATCTAGAAATCTCTTACAAGTTGTCAAATTAGATTGAAAGTTTTTGTTTTTATTTGAAAAGTAGAAACAATTCGCTGTATAGGAAAAATAGTTAAATCCAGTTTTGATTGTGTAGTGAACTCCCAAATTAACTAGTGTCTTTTAAAGAAAAATGCGGAAGTATGGAAAAATTGCCACAAACCATTAATATAAAACTAAACTTCTATAGAAAATACACAAAGGAAAAAGAAAAATGCATTGGGTAATAACAGGGATAACATAACATCATAAAATTTGCCAGCTCTAATATACAACACTATGTATTTCGATTGAATGCAACCAGAATATATATACAAGAAACGTTCTAGTCGATTTCTTACCCAAATTAGAAGTTTGTGATTTGCCCAAGCTCTGTTTTTTCAGTAAATTTTTTCTTCCATTATTTGCCACCACCAGCAGCCGAGCGATAAGGTTGCTGAATACTAATAGTTTTTCCTATGTGTAACATGGGCAAAGGCCTGTTCCTCTTAGGAAGCCCTCCATGAAGGCATCCCTTCCCTTAGGCAGATAGCACTCAGGTGTTTTACCATAATGAAATAATCCCAAAAAATGTAATTCTCCCCGCTCCGCCTGTTAATTATAACATGGGTTATTCATCTTTCTCGGGTTTATTTGAAATTAACTGAGGACGTCTTCCTTAATATTATCTAGGTAAATTTTGTATTTAAGTCAATCTTAAAATTTTACAACACCGAGTTTTTGAATACGTTAAAAGTCACTTCATCGAAGTGGATGCTGTCTAGGTTACAACGCAATTTCCTTCACCCATATATGGATGAATGGTGTATTTATGTAATTAGATGGGAATTTTTGAATAATTCGAAAAAGGGTTTTTTTTAAACTGTGGGTGCAACACCAAATGGGGTTGCAAAGCGAAATGTTAGGATCGCGAAAATTTAATTCAGATCCATGAGTTTAAAGAAACATCTGCCGCAAACCTTTTACTTTCTTTAATATATTACATTTTCTGTACAGAGCAATTAGAAAATCATAATACTGGCGAAGTTGGGCTATAAATCATATTTGCATATTGAAAAATATTAACTGCATTATAACAGCAGTGTCGTACTGCAATTTCATGTAAGTTATTTTAAAATCAAAATCTGTCGCAACTGCGCAGTACTTAACGTGTTGTACCATACACGCATGCTGAGAATAAGGTCAGCGCTGCTTCGACTAGTGTAGTGATAATGCTTTTCCAATATAATTTCAGTTGCTTCATTGCAACAGGTGTCTATATGTATATATATATATATATATATTAATTAATCAAATTATTTTAATTAATATTTAATATAATAAACCGCGTATATATTATATATCGCAGTTCTTGCTATTTTTATTTTCTCATATAATTTGCAATAGCTTACTTTATTGTCAGTTAACAGTTTAATAGATTTCGGCTGAGTTAAAAGCTTTATTACGCATCAGAATGATAAATGACACCATCAAACGAAATTTCTCTAGTGTATACAATGTAATTGGAAATTAGATCAAGTTCTTTTCAATTTGCTTTTTATTCTATAGAAACTTTCAACTGTAAAAATTAAAACTAAATGATAGTCTTAATGAGAAAAAGATTAGGGAATCTATAATTGCCCGTATTTTTTTCCTCCTAATGAAAAGGAATCCCGTGTTTCATAATTCGTTGATTACTATTTTTATTGAACTTATTGAAAAAATAAACAATTTATAAAAATACCATTTATTTAACATTTTATGCTATGTTGAACAAACCTTACAAATAAAAAATTATTCGTCCATAAAACTAATAAACTGCTTTGTAAAAAGGAGTAGCGTTTTTCAATACCTTATTGAAATATCTTGATTATATATCATAAATATCAAGTCTGCTGTTATTATTCGTAATCAGAATCTTTCTCCTTTTTGGCTCTTAAATCATACAGTACTGTTGTTTTGGGTATAAAGATTAATGCATCTGACTTGACTATTTGTTCTGCATATTTTGAGCCCTGAACAATATTTTGACTCTAATATTTTTGTTTATATTTTTTCTAACTGCAGCATCTGAGTAATATTGCACGAGCTTCAAGCAGATGTAATCGTTTTCTTTATAGGTTTTTTTTTATTCATTATCTGTTCATATTATTATTATCTATGTTTTGTAACAGTTTATGTTTCAGAGAATGGCAATATACTATGTTGTTCTTCTTTTTAGAGAGTTAGTGTAACTTTTGTTTTCATCATTTGAGAGTATGAGTAAATGAATTATTTAATTATTGTAGAGTCATAAATAATTAAAGAGATATAGATAGTTATTTCCGAGTAATAAATAGTTCTTGAGGTAACAAATTTGGTGAGAATTTTTGAACATTTGGCGTCCGCTTGAAGGACTGCTATCTGTAAGTAGAATTCTTTCGTTTATTTATAATGGATGTTTTGAAGTGCAAACGATCTCAATTTAAGAGATTGTTTACAAAAGCTTTAAATGATTTTGAGAAGAATGAAAATGATTTATCTTTAGACGGAAAAATTTCGAAACTTAAATTAGTTGAGGACGAAGCGAAACCTATGATTGAAATAGGACAGACTATAACAGAAGAATGATTAAAATTAAAATGAAACTGGGATAAATAACGAGTTTGATGAGTCGGAATGCTATATTGATAAGTGGAGAATGGTAGAAAGCAATTTAGTTTCGCTCCTAGCTGAAAAGGAAAACGGTTCTGTTGTTAATGAAAGCTTAACTCAATACGTTATCTTAAGCTTAAACTTCCGATTTTTGATGGGAATATTAAAAGCTGGTTAGGAGTTTGGGGCCAGTTTAAAAAGATCGATAATGATCCCAATTTAGATGATCATGATAAATTTGCATATTTAGTGCAGTCTATGGAAAAAGGGTCATCTGCTGAAGAGTTAATCAAAAGCCTTCCGCCCGGTGGTGAAAGTTATAGTAAAGCTTTGCAACAACTGCAATCGCTTTTTGGGAAAGAAGACCTTCTTTTACAAGTCTATATTAGAGACCCCAAGGGTATTCATAAGATGATGCTCCTTTGTCACACGATAAGCACAAACAGAAAAGGTTTTTGCTTCCAGGAAACTTCTGAAATTACAACTAATTACCTGTTATCTTCACCCCAGTTGGCAGATCATCTGTTAGTCATATGACAAACTGTGAGAATCTGAGAGTCTTTGAAGTCGGTACAAGATTAAAACTATCTGTCCAGCAACTTTTGCATCTGAAAGATGTAGCTTAACATAAGAATAAGAAAAAGAGCAAATATTTTCGCCATAGTCTTATTGATTAACATTTAAAGACAGAAAAAACAAGAATTATATTTCCTTAGGGGGATGCAATGGCACCTCCCTGCACTCTCTGACTACGTCCACGTTTTGTTCCACTCCCCATCCTTGCTAATAAAGGGCAATGCGAGGTAGTATGCAACAGCATAATGTGAGCTGCGATCGAGAGTTGCCACATTGGTTATCAAGGGCAAAACAAGAACATATACCATCGCCCAGTTTGGGGAAAATGACGAAAGACGTAACACGCGCAGCAGCAACCTAGCTCACAATGATGCAAAGCAACCAAATATACAAGACCACGCATTGGGAGCCGCAGCCCAGAAACAACGAAAACCCAGCAAATACCGGCCCATGACACTAGGCAGGATGGATTGCTTTTGGCCTGGCGGTAAGATGTCCTGCTTCCACGCGTCAGACCTTAGGTCTACATCCAAGATCATTTACCACCTTGAAGTGAAACTTGCGAAACCACACTTCTCATCCTTGCTCATAAACGACGCCACAAAACAACAGCAGTGAGCTAACGTGGAAGTCCGCTATTCAGATGACCTGGAGTGATAAAAAGACACACGTTCTCCCGTATAGGAGAAAATGAAGAACGAAGTCATATTCACGGTGTCCCACAATGCAACAAAGGATCCACCTAGGCACACAATGCAACGATCAACTCTCCGCCGGACTAGTGACACCACGGAATGATAGGCTACTACAGGCTGATCAGCGAATAAGCCCTGATTTCAAGATTAAATATTTCTACAACAAAGATCAATAGAATTATGCGGTAAACTGTACGTTTATTAGCAAAACTGTAAAAATGGTGTACAAAAGTTTATAAAATTTAGTTATGAAAATCGTTAGCAGATGGCGCTCTAATCGCAATGACTTATCAATAGCCTTTAAAATGTGCTTCGAAAATCGAAAGTGATCAGTACAACTGTTGGCAGAAAGAAAGTGAAATAATGTATTCCATTCAACAACGTGTATTTTGGTTCTGGAATTTCACCAATTAGAACACAGTCCTACGGCAACACGTCACAATTTTCAAAACCGATTCAATGTTCCACTTGGACCCGATGTGAAAACCATTCGCAAGTTCTTCGCGAAATTCGAATGGACTGGCAGCGTGGCTGATAATCGAAAGGGAAATGTTGGGCCTAAGCAAACTATAGTCACTCCTGAAAATGTAGCC